GTGTGTGTGTGTTGTGTTTGGGGGGGTAGAAAGAAGGAGAAGGGCTCCGTTAGGGTTAAAAGGAAAACCACACAGTGAAACAATGGAAGGAAGCCCAGGCAGGAAGGCAGTGTTGTGCCCATCTTGTGACCTTTGCATTAAGCAGCTACAGGGAGCTGGTGCACAATCAGAGGGTTGGGAAGAGTGTGTATATGAAGATGGGGGCTGGAGGTGGGAGCAGCAGATTCTACACATCTTCATTTACAATCACTGTATACTCAATACAGGCGAAGGAAGGCAGTGCATTCTTTCTCAGAATGTTTGTCCGTCAAGATCCGTCTCTCATTTTCACAGTGCATGTGTTTTTATTTTTATGTTTTTGGACCTGCTCAGAATTTTAATCATAAAACCTTAAGAGCTGACCCAGCAGTGTCAAAAGGAGGGGCGGGGGTGAAGTAGATGCTTTTGGATGCACTCTTACAAAATGAAGTGGTGGGGATTGTTTTAAGAACAAAAACTTCTGAGCAAAAACGGATCACCAGATAGGGAAGATACAAACTCCCAGTACTTGTAGCTCTTGCAGAAATGAATCTGTTCCCTAGAGCTTATTGTACTTAATTGATTGGCTGGAATGATCCTAATTAGGTTAAGACTGCGCGGGCGAGAGTGTGGTGGGATTTACTGTATGGAGTTATTTAGACTGCAGTGAATCCAATCTGGCTTGAAGGGCTGTTGAGAAGTGTTTTAGAGCTGCAGTTGAGCACCTTTCTGTCCACTCCAGACTCAATTTCATGGATTCAGGAGAAGTGCAGGAAGATGAGGTGCTGCAAGCCTGTTGCCTTCCAGGCTGTAGAATTCCTCTGTGGTTAGTTGTTTAACAGGTGGACAAGACTTCTCATCTCCAGGCCTAAAGGGCCAAGGTGCCTTCTGGTTTCCATTCCGAGGTCCTCATTACATGACTAAACTAAATGCGGTGTTTAATGAAGATGGCTTCACAGAAGATAAGGGAAAAGATTTACTTTCTGGACATTGTCAGTTCGAGCCATGAGTGGCGACCGATTTCTTTTGTGTAGGCCTGAGCAAGAGACTGAACTTCCCTTTGAGACAATGGCAGATCCTGACATGACAGGTTCTACAAAACTGGCTGTTAATGTTAATTTGTAGTTTATATACATACAGTAGAAAAATAAATGTGTGTTTTGCTTGTGTGAGGTACTGAGATGCCAAGTAATTCATCAGCACCATTTTATTTAAACCACTGCCAATCTGGTCAGAGTGATCTTTAACAGTATGATTAATTGTTTGGGTACCCTCTCACTCCCCCCAGAGGTAGAGGGGAGTTGCCCAAGTGTTATTGATAGAGGCTGGCCTCGCAGAGACCCTGTCCAGATCAGCAGTAACTTAGCAAGGTCCACTGTCAATGTGGTAAGTAAAATCCAGGCCGATGGATACACACTTCATCACTTCCTCCCTAGAGATTAGAAACTGTGTTTTTGGAAATGTTTGAAAACTTTTGGAGGGGTTGTGTTTCTACACCACTTTTTGGAAACCAGTTTACGATTAGAGCAGGGATCCCCAATCCAGGCCCTGGAGGGCTGGCACCTCTGCAAGTTTTAAAAGTCTTAGAAACTGGGAAGATCTGTTAATAATGAAACCTATTTAAGCCTGTGAAGCTCTAACCTGCAGATACACCCACAGCACTAAGACTGGGATCTCTCCATTAGAGTGTGGTAATGAGCCAACAGGCAAAGATTTCAAGGTAGGGCTATGCCCTCAATGTGATGCCTAAACATCGCAGGGCTCACAGTCAGACATTTTTTTTAGAAACACTAATTCAGACAGCCTGTCTTTAGTTCTGTGGGAGAAAACCCACATGGTCACGGAGATCCCATGCAAACTCCACACAGAAGGTGCCACAGTGCAGTGAATTCAGGACCCAAAGGCTGTGATGTAGCAGCGCAAAACACCAGAACACAGTGCTGATCAATTGGGTTTTTTTTTTAATAAAATGTGACAACTGCTTTTCAATAACTTTGGTCTGAAACATACAGTACTAAGGCCAGCACATGATACTACTAGACACAGATCAAGTTTAATTCCTCTTCCATACCCTGTTTATCAGCTTCAAGTCTGATAGCAGACCCTAATCATGCCCGTTACCATTAACACCATGTTGCTCTTTCATTCTGCTTCCTTCTTTCCCACACAGGGCTCGGTGCAGTGAAAGAGCAGGTATCACCTGGGCACGCTCGGGTTGCTTAGAAAAACTACTTATCACTACAGAGTAATGACGACAATGCTACCTTTTGCTTTTTTCAGGTAAGAATATTTTATAAAGTTTTTTACATAATAATGCTATGATTCATGGAATGCCAAAGGGATCTTCCTCTTAGCATTCAAAATTGCTTTGAATATAAAAATAATCTGCATTTGATGATTGGTACAAAAAATTACTTTGAGAGACCAAACGGAAAAACAGGATGAGGTACCTTAATCGTAATAATACTAGATGAAATAATATCCATACATTTGTTTTTCTGTTTTGATCATGTGCACAATGAATATTTCAAGCCACGGCTTCAAAGTCCAAAATTTTAAACGGTAGCAGAAATAACCAAAACTATCGTTGATCCTGAAGCCCTAAATTTTGTGAAGGTGAAAGCCCATGAAAATCGAAGAAGAGAATAAATATTCAATAAATTAGTGAAATACAGGGGTGTCTTTCTTTCTCTGACCGTTTCAGGTAGGATTTAGGCCTCATGCACAGTGCCTGGGAGGTGGGCCTTGTGTAGGGTGTGCCAGTGGCTTCCCACGTTTCCAGTTGCCTTTTGTTCTCTCTCCTGCCTTCCAGCTGTCAGGGTGGATGGTACACACACTCCTCGGTTATCTCACTCCACTATTTCAAACAGTCTGCTCCTGGCTCCTCCACCATCGCCGTTTTACCTGGGTGCCCTGTGGATCAGATCAGAACAGTGTCGGAGAGGAAACGGGCTGTTGTGGCGTTCACTCACCAAAAAGTCTGATCGTCTCGCGCTCCCTTACCTGAGAGGGAGATCTTGTGCATGCGGTGGAAGAACAGGAGAACGAAGAAGAGGGAGAAGGCCAGGCAGCCGATAATCATCCCGCACAGCATGAAACTGTAGCTGCCCTCGCTGTGGATGATCTGGGAGACAGAGGACAGGAGGGGGCAGTTAGGTGTGGCTGCAGATGGCAGCACCCGAGCTACCAGCATGGTGACCAATACTTTTGACCTATGAGTTATTCACATCCAGGACTGCGTGATTTGTAACTGTGGACGGCACTGAGAAGAAGCCCCTTTCTATCTTATTCTACAAAGAAATCCAGCGGTGATAAAAAATGTCACACACAGATATGTTAAAAGACACGAGCCTCTTCAGTCTTGTGCAGAGGAGATTTTGATGCAGGATTTCAAAATCAATGAAGGATTGACAAAGTGAAACCGATGGGTATTTCTTGTGTGATTAGGAAATGGTACAGCTGGCACATGGCTTCAAAAACAGCCCTTTATGAAGAAGACTGCCCGGGAACTTGGAAGAAACAGCTGGATGAGATTCATGCATTTCTTGTAGGTAAACAGTCAGGAAGGGAAGAATGATTTGTATCCTTAGAAAGCTGTTATTCTGCTGTAATAGGTGAACACTTACCGATCCAACAAGCACTTGGAGGACCATTTCGCCCATCCCCGCACTGGTCACCAGGACTGTCGTGGCACACCCTGCATGAGAGTGACATCATTTTCACCCATCCCATGTGCCAACCTGCTCCGCACACAGGCAGTCTCAGAAGATCTAAGATAGTCAGGGATCATCAGGACAGAAGAACGTGCACATGCACTATATGCATGAAGCTCTGCACATCTTCAGATGAACATTTAGGAGTGTGACGCTGATTGGAGTACAGGCGTTCCTTTCATCAGCAGGACAGCAATCACCCACGCTGCTGCTGAGAGAGCCCTGGCTAACTAATCGCACCCTAATCTCGATAATGCTCTGATTATTGTGTACTGCTTCCATTAGGAATCCTGGTAACAGTCATCAGAGACATAACTCTGTCTGACAAGAAGGGGAAAAGCAGAGGAGTAAGTGGGCTGGACCAACCTCTGGATAAATTAAATTTTGCACAGAAATTGAAATATCATCTCTGCTTGCTATTTGCTGCAGATACCAGGATAGTTTGCTGAGACATGAACAAGAGTGGGAGTACCTTTGTAGTCAAGGATGTCCTCTGTGTAGGCCAGCATGGAGGGGAAGATGCTACTGAGAAACAGCCCCAGTAAGCAGGTACCAATGAAGAGGAATATGCTGCTGGTGAAGAAGATGAGCAGCAGGAGCACTGTGATAATCACACCAGCCTGTCGGGAAAAATGGATGAAACTTAAACCATATCCCGTCTGCTCTTAAAAAAGATGGATTAAGTACAGTCAGAAAATGTCTACTTTTCTAACACAATTTCACTGCCAAACCCAAACTGCCACCACACACAATTCTGTCCAGTCATGCATCCATCAGTGGAAATCAGAAATCATAAGAGCTGGCCTGGGAAGTACATTTGAATCGCATGGAACCGCATGAAGGGCTGCAGTCCTGTAGCTCTCACGCGGATCCCTAATCCATTCATTTACAAGATGGAAATTGTGTTCCATTTTACCGATTGTATATAGCATGCATGGCATGTTCAGATCAGTAGTGACTGATTTAAGTAGAAGTAGTAACTGATTTGTAGATATAATATGCACAGGCAATCCAAAGCTTGCACTCGGTCTTACCAGGTTCAGCAAAAGCAGGCGAACAGGCTGGAAGCGGTAGGACAGGGGGATGGACACCAGTCGGCCCACTGTGATGGCGGCCCAGAACACACTGGCTAGGTACCCCGCTGTCTTGTGTGGCAGGTTCATGGGTGGTGCCACTGCGTAGGTGTACACAAATCCAGAATATGCCCCCTGGTGGAAAGACAAGGTAAAGCAAATCTGACTTGAGTGCTGTTGAGAGTGGAATCCACATGAAAACATGGACCAAACAGGGCTACAGCTACAGCACTATTCAGTGTCATAGAGACAATGTTTTTTAGAGCACAAGGATACTTAGTAGTATAAATCTAATACATTCTTTAATGCAACTCTCTGTGGTCCAATTTCACACCTGGCTGGTGTGTGAGCAGGTTTTCTACATCTATTTAAAGCAAAAGACAGGAGATAATTGGGAGGTTTGGCCCAATTAAGCTAATAAGCCTTGATTTAGGTCATTAGAGCCATGCTAGAATGCAAACTTGCAGGACCAGGATTGCCCACCTAGATGTAATGGATGCAAAAAATGTCTACTGTCCAACAAAATAATTATTTAATTACACCAAATGCTCAGCTGTCCAGTAACACAGGTTCTGGAGCCTTAATGATGCAAGTTTGCTACGTGCAAAAATGACGTTTTCCCTTCTACATTTCCCTTAGATCACCTTTAACTTCAAACATATTACAACTAAAAGCCCAACACTGTTAAGTAAGTTGGTACCTATCCTATTCTAGTTAAAAGAAAAGTGAATTGAAGGAAAAGTGTTGAGGTATTCATATACTTCAAACTGAGTTTATTCAATACCTAAGCTGCTCTCCAGTACCATGAGGCTGCATTGAACATAACAAGGTCACTTACCACAATACCGTCTGTCATGAAGAGGACCATCCCTCCCAGGATGTGAATTCCAAAGAAAGAGAGCGGAGCCCCTTGAAGGGTCTCGCTATGACAGCAGCTGAACAGGTCACCATGGCCTGCATAAAACAGGGAGAGTTCATACCACAGACTCCCACACCCACTCTCCATTCAAGAACAATGAGCCAGACCACAGACTTGTTACTGATACTATTGCTGGTACAAAGCAGCCGGCATAAATTTAAAAGCCTTCCCTCGTAGTGGTAAACTGGTAGTAAAGTAACCTTTAATCCACTTCAGGTGGTGACAGCCATAATTCCCAGCATGACCAGAGTTATACAGTACATCTTGGTGCTAACATGCCTGTTTTTCTGCCTGTGCTAGAGCAGGAATGAGAGATGTCCAGCTTTACCTGGAGCGTCGGAGTCCTTGGTATCTAGCGTCTGTCCCTCTGTGCCCTGTGTCTCCATGGCAAGCTCATCCGTCTCCAGCAGTGGGGGGCTGCTGCTGGCACAACAGGGCACCAGCCTTTCTCTGTTCATCAGCACAAAGACTGCAATGGGAACCGGCAACTGGCAGAGGAAGGTGAGCAACAGGACACTTAGAAATCCAGGCTTTCTGCTATGAGAACATTTCATTACTGAGGGGAGCTCAAGGTTCTCCCCTGACTGATTTACCTTCCCCTTCTTTTTTTGTAAAATAATGTTTAGATAAAACCTGCCTTCCAGTTTGCTGGCAGGGTTTATCTATTTTGCAGCTCTGAATTCTGGCTTTTTCTCCCTCTGTTACTTTATTGAAGCTTTAAATGGATTAATAAATGGTTAATTAGAGCTATTTTAGTCCGTAGCTCTTGGCATGATGCTGATTTGGACATTACTTGTAGGCCCTATATTTATTTCACAAATATATCCTAGGCAGCTTAATAATCACAGATCATACAATGAGGCAACACAGTTTCCTAGACTGTAAGCTACATCACCATGACCTGTTACTGTTGGATTTATTCCTTATTCCACGTTATTCCCAAAACATGGGATAAGGTAGTTCTATAGATTTATTGCACTTAGTTAAGTAACTTAAAGTGTTGGCTACAGTTTAAGAGGGGAAAACAATGAAGACGTCTAAATCACATTATGAGCTGAATGAAGGCCAGCTCTAAGGATATTGACAAGCTGGGTCCTGCATGTTCCGCAGCAAATGAGCTCAGCACCAAAGTCTGCAGAGTAATCTGGGACTGCTTGCTATATGGTACAATTGGCTTTTGTTGTGACAATGCATGTTGCACTGGCAGATTTAACTTTGCTCTTTTAAACTGCGTTTACCCCTCGGTTCACTACAGGCTTGCATACTGCTGCACAGGTTCTGTACTCCTGTAGAAGGTGTGTTTTTTGAAGATGTGTGTCTGCAGGGTCTTGGCGTGCCAATGCACAGTGATTTATGGGAGTTCTAGAATTTTAAATCAAAGTCTTGTCCGGGGTTCCTTGGTGCAATGCAGAGGGAAGCAGGCGTGTGATTTGAGGCAATGCTCAGGATTCAGTGTCAACAACACCCACACATTCTGCACTGCTGTTTCTGTCTGCAAGCCTCCTGAGCTCTGTGCAGTGCTCGTTAAAAGACACTTTCCGGTGCCAATAATATGCAAAACACATTCGCACATCTATACTAATGGGACCAGGTCTGAGCCTTTTCTTAAAGGAATATTTAAGTGAAGTGCAGATATTTAAAAAAAGCTATTATAAATCCAGAGAAGAGACATTCTGTGGATTTCAAATTTTTGAATTTTGCCTTCCTCCCACTATTTTTGTTATCCTTTGCCCTCAGGCAGCTCTGACTCTTCCTCTCTCTGTTATGCACACAGCACAGAGCGAGACTTCATATGCAAAGTTTTCATTAAAACAGATCAAGAGTCATAACAGCAAGCCCATTCAGGTACAAAAGCTGACTGTTTCTGTATTCAAATGTCCCATGAGTGCCAAATGTCCACTCAAACAGCTGAACACTTGACAGAAATCTGCTTTTCAAGAACAGGTAATAAATTAACTATGACATACTTATGAAGCCTTAAAATCCAAACATATGTGTTGAGACTTACCTAAGTGAAACACAGCAATACAAAAAAGTGAACATTTTGTTATTACGATTTCTGTTGCACACTAAGGTCCCTATACTAGATGATTTAGGTTTTTAAATCCCCTTTACTTACTTTGTGAATTTAAGTCCTAAAATGTTTTGACTACAGGGCCATGAGTATCTAAACATTTACACAGGAAGGAGCCTGTGTTGAAGTACTATGGACTTCCTCAAGGTAATAATCAATCCCTCATTGGCAGAAAGGTGCTGGTGAAATTGAGACTGGACAAAGAATACATCTGCTCTCCCCTGGACGAGACAGTCTTCCGCATCACGGTCAGTCAGACCTCATCAGCCTGTCTGCGGAAGAAGGGAACTGGAGCTCCTGGCAGAAACCCATGTGAGCCCGACCAAGCATGCAGACTCCACACAGACAGACACCTGAGACGACGTGAACCCTGGACCCCAGCGCTGTGAGGCAGCGGCGCTGACCGCCCCACCTGCCGTAACATCCTCAAGGCCATATAGCAGTGCTTTAGAAAGGTAAGCAAAAATCTGACTAACTTTTCAGCGCCCTGATTCTCCGTGTTGCAATGGCAAAAGAGACAGATATTTCCCAAACTGGGCAAATCAGGCCCAGGAGTCGGACTCAGTGGCTGCATCTCAGGGCCATATCCAGCTCCTGAAGCAGACCAGCACATTTGAAATGATGTGAATTCCCTTTCCCTTCTGCCACATAAGACCAGGGGCTCAGCCTCTTATATTACCGAGTCAGCAGTCTCAGTATTGAATATTGTGGTACGTGTGAAACGATGATAAATGGCTGCAAGTGAAATACATGGCACCCTTAATAAGCTTTGTACTGTATTTCGATTAAGCACAATATAGTCTGAGTGCCTTCTTTTCTTATATGTTGTGACAATTCAATGACTGCATTAGGTGTATGAGAGGGAGGGATCAAGACAGAATTGGGATTTTTTTACCATTTCTTCATTGTCCTGTATTTTCTTTCAGTTTTTGCTCATCCAAGGTGTTGTTTATTTCCTACAAGGCAGGCCCCACGGGTATTCTGTTGTGTATGTGGAGTATTTTACACTAGGGTCTGAAGATGTAACCACAAGGGGAGGGTCCTGGCTTACGTTTATCAGCGCCATGATCCAGAAGGCGTAGGACACCTGCGTTACCACCTCTCCCTCGGTGGGCAGCTGGTACTGGGACAGGTTGTGCATGGGCGTGCCGGCCAGCGCGTTGCGCAGGTGGTGCATCATCCCCGTGCTGTTCTCCGTGCTGTTGCCCACCACGCAGTTCGTGTCCGACAGGAAGGGGTCCGCAATGAGGGGGCTCACCAGGGCACCAAAGCCGATGAAGAAATGCAGAGCCTGCGCAAACACGAAGCAGGGAAAGGCAGGCATCAGCTCAAACCCATGAGTCACCCTTCTGTTTGGGGATAGCACGGACAAATACACTGGGCTGTGCACAAATCTTCCTGGGAATCTGAAAGAAATGAGAACACAGGTGGCGTGGAAGCTCAGGCTAGATTCTTCATTCAAGTGACAGATGCTACAGTGCAGGCAGACGGTCTCTTTTCTGCTCTTGTAAAAACTTGCCTCAAACACTTTGAGGTAAAATTCGCTTCTGCCACTGGAATGGTAGTGTAAGCAGATGCCAAACCAGCAGTGGAGTTTAGAACACATATACTTAATTCTTAATGTGCAATTCTAGCCATTGAAAGGATTTTTTTGGCTCTAGCTCAGCCTTTAATGTTTGAACTAGAAACTTTGCTGGGGTTGTAACACTTAAACGTTTGTGAGGTTTCTACCCATTGGGAGTTTAGGGTTTCTGTTGAAAATCCACAGGGCTGAGGTGCAGCCCCAGTGATACTGAGGCCCCTGGCGGAGCTTGGCTCTCCGCAGGGACAGGGCGGGGGCTGACCTGCAGGAAGATGGCGGAGTCTTTCTGGTACAGCTTGACCAGCTGGATGTTGGCGATGGTGTCAATGACGCCCATGGCCAGCCCGGCCACGGCCATGGCCACTGCCAGAAGCAGCACATTGTGGCACAGCGGGATGATGGCGAACACCACCGAGATCAGGAGGGAGGAGACGAAGAGAGCGGACAGGGCACAGAACAGCCTGGGGGAAGAAAGGTACCGTCAGCTGTGTTCTCCACATTTATTATTTATTTACACCAGCATGACCTGCATGGAACCCAGGTCCTTGTCAAGGTAAGGTGGACTGCATCATCTTCTGTTGTACTGGCTCTTACATAAGTTACATTGTAGGTATTTGTTTAGGGCTCTGTAATTGTAAACACTTCCCTCCAAGTCATGAATGAATGTCACATGAATGACAGAAGTATTTAATGCTTTGTTAAAGCTCTATGCGTCTCCTACTCCATGGTATTTCTGAGCTGTAACACAAATGACTTATCTTGGGCCAGTAGTCACACCTACTGTATGCCGGAAGGTGGGACCTTGTACAGTTGGTAAACCCTGTTGTCACTGTAGAGGGGGAATCATTTGGATTATTAATTGCAAAAGTGAAGACACATTGGTGCCTGCTGAGCCACCAACAAAGCTATTTACCCTGCAGCAGCACAAACCCAAATACATATCCAAGCTACTGGATATATATTTGCTGGAGATGCTGTGGCTTCCTTTGCATCAGACGGTGGCGTGGATCGTGGGCAGTTACAGGACCAGAGGCCAAGAAGGTCGTGTAGATGAAGCAGTCAGTGACATGAGAGGATGGGTGGGTCTGGGAGAAAGGGTCCAGTGGAAGAGTCATTCTGTGATAGGGACAAATTCTGTCTGATCACTCAGGGAATAGAGACCGTGCCGAAGGAAGTCAGGTGGAATTAGGTTCTGTGTGCAAGCATTCCTCCTGGGGGAGATGTTCTATGGGCTCAATTGAAACTACGCCCCTCAAACCAGCACAGAAGGTGCCCTCATTATGAGCACTGCGAGAAGCTGAGCTGCCATTCACTGGAGATAGGATGTGGCTCTCACTGACTTTAACCCTGTGAAGCTCCGGCTCACAAAGGCCTTGGTGCGTGGCCACCCCAGGCCACCCCCTCCCTGGTTCAAGCTCACCCAAGCTTAGCCTGTCGAGCTCCGTCACTTTGAGCAAAGCAGTGAAAGTAGAACGACACCCCAGCAATTGCTCTGGACTATAGGGACGGTTCTGAAATAGGCTGTGCAGAAATATCACAATTTCACATGACTAAGACAAAGAAGTCAGCTTTGACACAGATAGGCTCCTCATTAACGAGCCAGCACGGGCTGTTGCTGCAGAAATGTATGACCTGAGCAGGATCCTCCGGAGCTGCATTCCAGACGTCTTAAAAGATGACCTTTGTCTGCAGATGGCTTCCAGACAACTGCCAGCCTTATAATATTTACACTTCAGCTTAGGTTTCAAACACAATAAGACAATACAAAAGCAGAAATCCCCATAGATAGGCTGGCATACAGCCCTGAGTTGCTACTCCCTTATCTGCAGAACATCATTCCAGCCACCAAGATCGGGAAAATATAACAAAATATCCTTATTTTTTAGATCATAGATCACCATGTTGCATTGCAAGAGAAAAAGCAGATTTCTACTGGTCTTTTTTTTATTGTTCTCCTTCCAGGAATACCCCAGTGTGATGGTGCCATCTGAAGTCCTCTCCTTCAGGAGTTACATTGGACACACCTCTCTCAGTTGGCTAATTAATATTCCCCGGGTGGCAAAGGGGTTTATATGATGGGCCCATTGGATGATGGAACATTCACAGGATCAGCAAATGAGTATATAACAGCAGTGAAGTGCAGAGGGCAGGGAGCCGTGTCTAAGCTCCTGCAGTTCTTGGGAGAGAGTCAGAAGTAATTGGAACTGTATACAGTAAGTTTAGACAGCACTGGAGTAGCCCTCCAGCTGCAGTCCTAATTCCACTTAGTTTTATTGAGTTTATTGAAGAGTTTTGCAAGTAATTTTTTTCTTAAGGAGTGGATTTGGGTCATGAATGATGGATCCAAAGTGAATTTAGCATTTTGTCTCTACTACGTATTCCTGGATTAAATACAATTTCTCAGTAGTCCCTTTAAAGATGTCAAGTAGTGCCAATTATATTTGGAAACGGGGCACCGATGGTTAAGCCATGTAAGGTGTACCAGTAGGTCTCCAAAGACACAAGGGACATATCTTCCCATTAAAGGGGTGGTCTGGCCATTACTGAAGGGATGAGCCTGCTTCAGCGTGTCAGATTGTCCCTTAGAAATCAATCATAACCCAGCAAGAGGAAAGGAGTTTGTCAGGAATTTGACTGTTCCAGCTCCTCCAGGGACA